GTATTTTTGTTAGACAAAACTCACATTAGAAAAATAGAAAATACTAAATAAAAAATTATTTTTACATTCTTACTGACCTCTTAAGGAATCTGGTAAAATGTTGGGTTAAAATGTTGGGTTGCATTTACGAAACTCAGACCTGTGTTTTATTTCTAATGTTAAATACTCAGTTGGCCCATTTAAATTATAGTTTTATTTTTAGGTTTAGGAGACTTTAAAAAATTAGTGTTTTTTTTTTACACCCCCAATTTTTGTCTGTCATTATCAACATGGAGTTTATATTTGAAACAAAAATCAGGTTTCATTGTGTAATGGTTAGCACTCTGGACTCTAAAACAAAAATCATTGAGTCTGAAACTCTTGGTAGAGTATGTACTGTCTTGGAGATTATGAGTCCTACAAAGTTAAAACGAAACTATAAGAACAACTGGGGCAAATGGCATTCTGTTCTTTCTGGACACTCTGCAACTTGATAGCTGGAATGAAAAGGAGCATAAATCCACGGGGGAAATGCAGGATTGATGGTTCCTTCTTTGTGTATAGCATACTGCTTTGTTAGCCGCGTTAGCCCTTGTGGGTCAGGAAGCTCAACTCTTCTGTGGGTATTTCTTCATATAACAACTCTTCAAAACTACAGCTATAAATCCTGCAAAATAGAATTTATCAGTGTCACTGTTTCTCTTTTTTGTTAGAAAAGTCTAATCAGCATCTCCAAGTCTGATTTAAAATAGGTGAGGTTTTTGAACATTTATCCAATTTATGTTGATCTCAGAGTTACAGATGGGGCTCAGGAAAAGAAAGCCAACTATCGGCTTTCCTACTGCAGGATGACTTAATTAATGTAACCGAATGATCAAAAGAATTCCAATAAGTAGGGCAGCACTTGTGAGACTTAAGAACAACAACGACAACAAAAAACAACACAGCAAAAAAAGTTTGAGGACTTGACTACCTGGATTTTCTGACGGGGAACCTGGTATTTAGGAAGATAACTATTACCATGGTGTGAAGAATTGAGACCAAATGGAATTGAGTGGAAGACAACATCAGCAGCAGCCGGGATAATTTAGTTAACCGCTGGTTTTGCAGTGAGGTAATGTCGTAGATAAGAATGCGTTGCTCTAACTGCAGGAAGCCTCACAGGCAGCATTTTGCAGAATTGTGTGGGATTGCTCAAGATAAAAGATAACTCAAGAGACATACACGAGACAATTACATGTGAAGAAAACATTAAATAGTCTGGAATGTTCTGAAAATAGGAAAGGCAACGTGATGGGAAGAAAAGGATAATTAAGAGGACCTCAGATTGTAAGATAAAGCTGAATTTTTGGAGTAGCTTGCCTTATTTATTTTTTTCTTTCATTCCAGAAAAAAGCCATGAAACAGTGCTGTGGAGTGGGGAATGAGATTGGGTCTTTACAGATTAATAATCTGCTTAAAAGTTTCCTTATTTTGCTATTCCTGTGTTTGTCAAATAAATTATACTAATAACCACTAATCCAAAATGTTCCATCCTTAGTTCTCCAATTAAAAAATTAATAAAATATGGACTGGTTCAAAATGTTAATATCACATTGACCATTAAAACTTACTGGGCCTATCAGGGTACTGTTCTCTGATAAGGGCTATGGATAAAATCCACCCCTCAGAAAATCACATAATGCCTTTGACCTATAAATATTACTGGCATTAGGGGCACCTGGGTGACTCATTCGGTTAAGTGTCCTACTCCTGATCTCAGCTTAGGTCTTGATCTCAGGGTCATGAGTTCAAGCCCTGTTTGGGCTACTACATTTTATATATATAAATATATATATTTTATATATATAACTGTATATATATTTTATTTATGTATATATATATTTCTATATAACTATGTGTGTGTGTGTGTATATGTATATACGTATACACACACACACATACACATATACTGGCATTTGTTTCTGAATCTTCCTTGGGCCTCGTTAAATGCCTTACAAGTACTGAATGAATTATTTCATTGGTTGAATAAATGACCTCTATATTCGAGGAGACCCAAAGTCAGGAAAATGAAGGAGCTGGAGGAGAAATCTAGATGTGAATTCTAGTATCAGTTCTACAAATTTAGTTCCGTTTAGAAGAGGATTTCTTCAGCTTCTTGCTGTGGATCATGACTTGTGGTAGACATCAAGGTCCAAATGAGTAATTCTGCTTCTGAAGAAGACGGCACCCGCGGTGGTTGGGTTCTGTGCATGCACACCTGTACCGTGTAACAGAGCTACAGATTACAGCTAGCAGAGAAGAAAACTTAGCAAATTTACAAACGATCTTTTTGTATATCCACTTTCATTTCCAAAGCTATTTACCTAAGATTCTGCCTTTATTATGTGCCTTCTATTATGGGACTCGGATGTCTTCAGGTTTGCCTTTCAGACAGGAAGGGAGGCCTCCCTAAAACTTTCACATGCTAACAACTGTAATTAAAGTAGAAGGCCTTATTTAAATAGTAATTAGCCTTCAGGACTTGAAGTGTAAACAGAACGCTAATTCATTTAGATAGTTAATTGGTCTTCTGGGTTAGAGATCTTAGCATGGCCTTCCTCTTTAGCTATGATGTATTTAGGTACTGAGTACAGACAGTGTGTTGACTCAGTGGGATGAAATTTTGCAAAATCTTGCTTGACTCTCAGAATTTTAGCTTTTAAACTCCCCATGAATGACTAATGCAAGTGAATTTTAAGGTGTTGTGAAAAACTTCCAAGTAAAATTCTATGGCAAAATTGTTAACACTCACTTTTCTTCATAATCACAGGGACCATATGGCCCAATTTATTCATGCTATTGCCATGCCTTAGCATTAGATATTCAGGAATATCTTGGTTTGGAGATTGTGTGGTCATCCTCAGCATAATTAAAAATGACAACGTACAGTGATTGCTGTAACAAAAGGTGTGGTTATATTTTCTAGTGAACCCAATGACAAATGTCAGAGGCCCTTTCCCTACTCTCTGCCATAAAGATGGCTATCACGTGATATTATTAAGGTTAAAATGTCATCTCTTTTGAAGGTCATTTACTCTACCAGGAAGTTTGTCATTGCCTTTGCCAAGTTTGCTAGTCTACCAATAACTCTTGCTCCAAAAAAAAAAAAAAAAGTATTTGATAACTGCATATCTGTGATGTGTTTGCTCAGTCCTAGAGATAAGTTGCATGGAAGGTGGGTCTGATGTTTCACTTTTTAAAGTGTTTTTTCTTCTTACTTCAGCTCATCAGAGTGTACAACAGATGCTTAGGCCTGCTGCTAGCCATCTTCTCAGCATAAACATCCCACCAGACTTGCATAAATAGTACCTATCACACTAATTCAACAAATATTTAGTGTCTGCAGTGGCTGGCACATAGGAGGCATTCACAGGTATTAATTGAGTGAATAAATACTCCCACACCTTTGGCTTGGTGTGAGGCGCTACCAGCGAGGAGGTAGGAAGAGGGAAGGGAGAGAAAGCTCCGCATAATATCAGGTAGGTTCCGCCTTCAAGTCTCCAAGGGGAAGGTGTGAATAAGTATTCCTAATTGAAGGTAAGACTCGTTCAGTGCCGGAAGAATCTGTGAGTGGGTGTTAGAGCTCACTCTGGCTGGGACGGGTGTTCAGCGGAGGCTTTGAAGGTGGAGAGGTATTCAAATTTAGGATTTTTTCCTCTGTTCAGGGTTCATTTTGGCCCCAGACTGAGTCCCATGAAATGTGGAAGGACCCTCCTGCCGTCGGTTTCTGCAATTACGTACTTGATGTTTGTTGTTTTGCTGTTTTTTGTTTTGGCTGGCTAGCAACTTTCCCTTCAAGACTGATGACTAATCTGAATGAGCATCAGCTCACTTCGCAAATATGACTATTACAATACAGCAATAAATAATGCTAAAAGCTACCAATTTATTGTCATTCATTTGAGCTACCAAGTTGAAGTATCATTGCAGTAGCATGACTAAAAGAAGAGAGCTGAGTCCTGCAGAGTAACCATTACCATACTAACTCCAGCCTGCCAAGCACCTCCTACTCAGTAAGAGGAGGACAGCCTTTCCCAGGGCATGTCAGAAAGTGATTGCTTTCCATTAGTGCAGGGATGGAGTGTGAGCTGGTCTTCAACCCCTGGGTGCTTGCTGTGACAGCCTCCTTGCCCCTGACTGCCACCCAAGACCTAAGTAGGAAAACAGAAGGGGATGGGAGTAGATACACAGGGGGCCAAAGTTTTCATGTAAGACAAGAGTGGGATAAAGCTGAGAATGAAGTGACTGGCTCCATTTCCCCTTGCCCCAGAAATCAGGCTATTTCCTCCCCAACTCCTCTGGCTTTGCCTAACTGCCAACATTCTCCGTTGGGCACCTTCAGATGCTTTGGGCCTTTTGTTGCCAAGGTCCATCTCAAAGGCAAGATTCGTGGGACTCTGTGGCCCAAACCATCCCAGAGTCAAGAGAACTTGGCCCATATCCAGAGTTAAAATGAGAGAGAATTGCTCTTACACACTGGCCTTGAAGATTCAACGGGGAAGGCTTAGTTTGAAAATGAGTAAAAGGATGAACATATATACGTTGAAGGCCAGTTTTTCACTGCATATTAGAATGGGTGAAGCCGAGAGTGAAGCGACTAGCAGTTTCCTGGTAAGCTTGCTGTCTTTGGAGAACAAAATAACATCGGGCTGGTGTTTAGGGCATTTACAAAAAAAGTGAGTTACATTGTCACAATGTTACCTAAAATATGAAGCAAAATAATTTTGCCCTGAGATATTTAAAAGGGGGAAGGCTTAATCGCCGAGCAATGCTGATGCAAAGCACAGAAAATGAACAGAACGTGCAGATCCTACCTTTTTTTTTTTTTTTTTTTTTTAGTGTATTGTTGCTCACACTGAGACTGACTGTTCTGCTACCAATAGGACCCGGGCTCACCCGAGCCAAAGGGCTGTCCAGGATGCACGCACGATCTACAACCCGCCTCTTGAAAAGGAAGGTAGGGCCCGGGACACTCAAACCGTGTGTGCGAAGGGCTTAGAGAAAGTAACCCGAGTCGGCCTTTTCGGGCGGAACCACCCCCTCCTACGAGTTTCACTGGGTCCTCGGCCCCGCCCCTCTTTTATTCGGAGAGCGGCGCCGAGAGCTGAAACTTTGTAATCCGAGCGCGCTCGCCCGCGCTCCTCCCAGCCCGAGTCCAGCCCCGAAGGGAGGCGCAGGAGGTGGGACCTGCGGCCGGGAAGGCTCGGGGACGCGGGCGCCAGCAGAGCGGAGACCGCGGGAGAGCACGCCGCGGAGAGAAGGAGCTGGAGGGGGAGCGGAGCCCGCGGCGGACGAGCCGGAGGAAGTGGCCCGGACCATCCGCGCAGTCGAGAGGCGGGGAGCAGCTGGGCCCAAAGGGTCCCGTGCCGAGCCGAGGCCAGGGGCCCTGGGGTCACGGTCCCGCGTCCCCGCAGCTGCCGTCGCCCAGGAGCTGCAGCTGTGCCCGGGCTCCCGGCGGCGACGGGGAGGAGGAGGAGCTGCAGCTGGACGGTGGCAGCTGGAGGAGGAGCCGCGCGACTGTCCCGTGTGCCCGGGAGGGGGCCGCGCTGTCCTGGCTTAGCCGCTCTGGGATGACCCGCTGACCGCGGCCATGCAGCCTTGACGGGGCGCTCGGGCGCACGGGGACCAGCCGCGGGGCGCGCCCTCTCGGGAAGGACAGCGGGCCCGGGTAGTAAGACTTGAACCGCCGACTCTCGCCCAGCTGGGAGCAAAGCCGTGCACCATGGAGCCCGTGACCAAGTGGAGCCCCAAGCAAGTGGTGGACTGGACTAGAGGTGAGCGGGTCTGGGGGGCCCCGGCGCGTCCAGTCCAGGGATGGGGCGGGCGGGGAGCGGGGCTGTGGGGGTGCTCAGCCGCTCTTCAGGCGAGACGCGTTGAGAGCGCAGCGCGGTGACAATACAAACTTCTCCCGAGCGGTTTGTGCATCCCTAACTCTTGTGCCTGCTTTTGGGGGTGCGGATGTGGCAAGCCGAGGGGAGCCCCCGTCGTGAAGCCGTGGAGGGGAGATGGCCGTTCTGTGGACAGTGAGGGCTGGGGGTGCGGATCTCGGGACTTGCGGGGAAGGGCTGTGCGGGACCCGGGCGCCTTCCCTGCCTGCGTGCGGTGCCGCGCTCCTAGGCTGCGGGTCCCGGGGCTGAGAGGCACAAGGCGCCTTTGTGTGGGCGGCTCCCCTCGGACCTCGTAAATGCCGCCTGCCCAGAGTAGTTCGCAGGCATGACGGGGCGGTTGGACAGGTAGAGACTCCAGCGGCTCGCCGAGCCTCTGTTTTTGTTGGAGGAGGCGAGAGGGCAGCCCAGGAGCCAGCATTGAGGCGTTCGCGCCGGGGAGAAGCCTTTAGCCAGACTCCCTGGACTCGGTGACTTGCTCGAGAAGGTGCCAGTACCCCCTGTGCGGTGCATTATTATTATTATTATTATTATTATTATTATTATTTTTAGGCCACATTTAGACCTCGGGAAGAAGAGATCTGTTAGAATAACTGTCCCGGGTTGTACAGTATTGGGGATGAGGAAAAACAGTGGGGTGGGGTGGCAATGGGTGATTGAGCAGGGATAGAAGCTCCTAGGTCCAGTGGTCTGGCTTGCCTTTTTATTCCTCTCAGTATTTCCAAGGAAGAGTGATGAATTTCCGCAAGCATCTTCCTACTCTTCCAAAAAAACGAAGCCCACAGAAACAACCACTGTTTTCATGGGTTCCTCTCCCCCCCACCCTTCCAGCTTATCATCTCTTTTGTTTCAAGTTACTATTTTTTCTTTTTACTATTTTCTTTCTTCTATCTGCTCTTCCAGGTGAGGAATGGTGTCCTTTCTCAGTAATAATAACTAGAATTGTTTAGCGCTTTACAGTTTGCTAAGAACTGTCTCTCTGTTATTGCCTTTGGTCATCACAGTGAGCCTGTGAGGTAGGTAATACTGGTAAGATCAGGTCATCTTTCCAACTGTCTCACCCATGGCTGGGGCGTAATGGAAACCGGTCACCTCTGCATCTCATTTCTCATGCCTGCGTAGTACACAGAGACCACGTGGAATGGGATGTTCTAGATATATGGGACATTATGGGATGTGTCAGTGGGAAATGCTTGATCATTTCCACTGGGAGCAGGAAAGGGATATAGTTCTGAGAAGAGCCTTGTCCAGGGACCAACATTTCCTGGGTTCTTATTTAAAATGAGGATGAAAACAACACAGATGTGTACATTGGTGATTGGTTTGCCCAGGTAAAGAGTAAATAGCATTGCTAGTGCTTGGCACAAGACATTAACTTAAAAGCTTGTAAGTTCCTAGGCCCTGTTTTGCAACTGGGTATGTTTTCCCTGTTCAAGATACTACTGGATTCCCCAACCAGTGACTTGCCAAGACTGAGTTGGTTGATCTGGTTTACCTATGTGTCTATCATAGAAGTAACTCAAGTGAAAGATGATTTTCAGCAGTGTTTGACCTCCAGAGCTGTTCTGTCCAATAGCATAGCCACATGTGGCTCTTAAGCCCTGGAGATGGGCTGGTCAAAATTGTAAGGTGTTGTAAGTGTAAGATAAACATATGTGAAGTCTTAGTACAAAGAAATGAATGTATATTATCTCAAATTTTCATATTTCACTACATGTTGAGGTGATTATTTTTGGATATATTGGGTTAAATAAAATTTATGATTAAAATTAACTTTACCTGCTTATTTTTATCTTAATTGTGGCCCCTAAAAAGTGAAAAATTACACACATGAGTCACATTTGTGGCATGTAGTATATTTCTCTTGGAGCTGTACTGCTCCGGAGTCAAGAAAGGGTTACAGTTTATCACTCTGGTTTTCCTGAGTCCCTGCCAGCCTACTTGATAACGTACAACTAGAAAAATGGCAACAGGCACACAGGAAGATTATGGAGTGAGATCTTCACACCCTCAAGATTCGTGTCTTTTTTTTTTTTTTTTTTTTTGGTCCCTCTTGGGATTGGGAGAAGAGAAGTGTAAATTCACATCCTGTTATGTTTGTTTAGCATCTAAAAGGAAGAGCAGATTCAAAGGTTTTTGGCATCCAGTTCCCTTGACGTTAGGACTTGCTATTGCTTTCATTTAGGAAGTTTCCTACTGATGTGACAGAGCAGTTATGAGTGGTTCAGTATCTGAGTATCAGGAGCACTGGGCACTGATTAGGTTACATGCCTGTGGTTAGTGTGTGGCAACTTGATACGGAATGGTTGTGCCCTTTTGGACCCTTAAATACAGCCTCATAGAATGACCTGGATACTTTCTGTCTTAGAACCTAGAAAACATAAGAGGAGTAACTGTGGCAAACTCTTAGGCAAGAGGCAACACTCTCCCAAATTGCATGACACATTACTTGAATATTTCTCATAGTAATGATGTGAAAGTATTGACTTCTCAATCAACTGTTGACTTATGCAAACTTGTTTGCTTATACGACTATTTTTAGTTGTCTTTGCTAACCTCTCTGCACAACCCCCACTTTATAAATACATCCTCCCGATAAGAAGTTCTTCATGTAGACTTTGCCGTGCGTGGTGCTGCACGAGTCTGGTGGGGTGATTGTGAGCCCCGTAGAAAGCCTTGGATTTAAAACTGTCTGAACCTGACTACGGTTACAGCGTGCCATCTCTCGTGTTGATGTTAAGAGGCGGGTGCGTGCATTAGGAAAAAGGGTGTCTACAGAATGAATGAATTCGTGTGGATTTTATTCTTATTTTATTATTGTTATGATATTTTTGTGTGAATCTTTGGCTATACCGTCACCATTTTCATCATAATATTAGGAGATCCTCAGTAAATCTTAGCAGCCTGTTAGGCTCAGATCTCCGCATGGTACGAGTATCCACTCATTTAATGTGGGTAAACACGTTTTGAGGTAGGAACAGGTTATTTCCATTTTGTAGTTCTGTTCTGAGCATGGAAAGGTCCAGTACCCTGATCAGTGTCACACAGTGGGGAAGGGACAGCAGCATTTGACCCCAGGTGCCTTGGTTTTAACTCTGTCTTCTCAGGAGGTTCTCATTCTGAGGGGACTCTAGAAGCTTTACCACATTGATGAGCAGACCTTCAGGGCTCCCATGATGTGAGTTCCTAATATCCTGTTAGTGGAAGAGAGTTGTCTGGTATATATGTGTCTTATCCTGCCTGTTTGGTAGGATTATTTGTAAATCAAATGAATTCATAGTTCATGGCACCCTGTCTTTAAATAATTCTAAAGGCTTTTGCGAAGCAAATGATCTTTTATAATGTCTATCAGGTGAGAAGAGGGTGTGGTGCCCATAACTGAAAATCCAGTTTACAGGAGTAAACCCAATGGGACTGCTGATTTTCTTTTGTAAAAGAAGTCTGGAAATGGGGAATTCAGAAGTAGATGGGGGCTCCATGGTGCCGCCAGGGGCCCAGGCTCCTTCTGCCATCCCGTTCAGCCATTCTTAGCATGTGGTAAGCAAGTCATGTTTATCTTCATGCTTAATGCCACAGCGCAGGGTGGCCGTTCGCCTCCAGGATCTTGTCTTTATTCCAGGCAGGTGAAAGGAGACCCAGCGAAGACGAAAGAATGGTGATAGCTAGGTCTTCTCCTAGAAATTTCATCCAGGGAGGTGGTTTACAGCTCACTCGCCAGAGCTCTCACGTAGCCTCATGCTGCAAGGGAGGCTAGTCCCTGTCGTGGGGGGGGAGCGGTAGGGTGGTGGAGGGGGGGGGGGGGGGGGAGTGGGGGAGGAGTTTACTTGGGTCCATTGTTGCCCTGAGAAAATTTGGACTTTGTTCGGTGAGGAAGAAGGGGGGTGGTTGGACAATAGATACTGGTAAGCAGCCATCTCACAGATGACACACAGTAATTTATATGTACTGATCTTTATAGATTAGTTCTCGAAGTAGGAGACCTGTCATAATGTCCCACGTACATCAAGCCTGTGGGTCCACCCTGTTTTAGAACTGGCATTCTGTTTTTATTCCTGTTAAGCTTTCTCAGGTCAAAAACCATACGTTATATGAAGTCTTTTTCTCGGAGTTTGATTTAAATATTAGAAGTTGCTTTGTAAAACACAGCTACCCAAGTTGTGTTTCTGTTTCCAGACCACTGGGGATTGTCTTTGACAAGGAGGACCACTGATTTGTCCCCAGAATCTCTGTTGGTCTTTGATTGGCTTGGCATGGGCAGGTTCTCAAGTGTGTTGTGGAGTGAGCACATCTCTAATACCCTGCTTTAGTGGCAGAGGAGAAGTCCCTCTGGCCAGCTTCTTGCGCCCAGCATGGGTACCATTTCCCCAACACGAACCTTGAGTGAAGGGTTTCCTGCTTCAGGTGTGAGCCTGTGGGGTTCAGGGCATTTGCTCATTCTCTGTTCTCTGGCCATCAGCACTGCTCTTCCTTGTAATGTCTCTTAGTATGTGGTACATTAGCAGTCTTAAAGCGCCTCCCTGTTTGGTCCTGGAGGGGCTGGAATTTCTATGTTATCTGTAGAGATCTGGTACACTGTAGGTCAGCTCCAGGGTCAGACTCTTAGGCCCCTCCTGCTGCCGTCCACACAGAGGCCAGCGCTTCCCACAGACCTGATTCCAGTTAGGTTAGACTTTTCCCATTAGCCTCTGTGGCCCGTGAAAAAGGGAGGTCCTTTTCTTTTGACATTTGTACATCTCCCTCGTGGGTCAGAAGCTCTTCTTTTTATTCCACTCTCTTCCTGGTGTTAGTCTATTTCTTGGGTCTTGCCATAGAGTTATCTTAATCATAAGGATAGAAAAACAGTTATTGAAGCATTTATTGTATGTCAGCCACTATGCAAAGTGCTTTAT